CCTGCACAGGAAAGACACCCTGACTCCTTGGGTGGTGGCCAGTGCATGAGCGGGGCCACGCTGCAGGCCCACACCACTCCCTTTCCCTTCCACTGTGTTAACACAGCCCCTGCAGGCACGAAGAGGTCAAGGCCCTGAAATCACTGCAGAAAGGTGAGCACTGCACTTTGGTTCAAACATGGGAGTGTGCAACCTCCATCGTGCCCATGCCCACACACCTGACTGCCTCAGCTACACCTGTCACGGGCCCGCCGAGCACCCACTGGATCTGTCCTCACCTTCCCTACCAGGCAAGGACGAACAGCAAGTCCTCCCAGTGCCCGCGAGCCCGGCCTTCGGGGTGCTCCCCTCTTGGGGCACCCCCGTGCTGTTCCCTTGCGGATGGCTCCCTGCTGTGGGGCTCACACCCTGCCCCCAGTGCCCAGGATGGTGCTAGCATCTGGTGCCCCAAGCAGCTACAGATAGTGGTAAATGTCGGCTCGTGGATGGATATGCTGATTTAAATGATTGGAAAGTAGGCAGGAGACACATTCTTGAGGGAAGCCTGAGTGAGGCCTGAGAAGATTCACTAGCAAGGACCCCACCCCACCCCCCCTCACTGGCAGACAGGGCTGCCCCAGGGCAGGCGGCACCCCATTGCTAGAGGGGAGCGGGCCTCCTGCCCCAACCACAGCAGCCCCCCAGCGAGAAGGCGGGAGGCCTCACTGCCGTTTGGATTATGCAATGTGGGGCTGACTTCACATGCCAAGATACTATGTGGGCAGTCCCAGGACATTTGTGTTGGAAATTATTCCTCAGACAATGTGAAAGATCTGAACCTCAGGGAAGATGAGCTGACAGGGGCCACGTTAAGGAAAATAATATCTGGCACACAGGATTCCTGCCGGCACCATTACTGCAACCACAAACCCATCTTGCTGGGCACCAGTGCGTGCCAACCCCGCTCCTCTGCTTTTGTTTTCAAAAAAGATCACTGTGTTCAATCTCATTCTTCAAATAAAGAGATTCTATGGTAAAATTGGAGGAAAATTCTTTAAATAGATGGGACACTCAGAGAAAACACTTCTATTTCTAGTAAATGTGTTCAAAGTCAGCTGGGTGTGAGCCCACATGCCTGACCGTGGGTACATAGCCGTTTGTAACTGTCCATAGTGGCTGTCCCCCGAGGCACCCAACGAGCATCTCTAGAGGGTCATTGACAAACAGGCGAGCGTGCCCCCAGAGCACTTTGGGAGAATGAGGCTCACACACGCCCAGAACTTTCCTTATCCTCTCATGAGCACCAACTCTGCCCCCAGGTGGCCTATGGCTCCAGGACCTCTGGTACCCAGGTCTACCAGCCACTGAGGATGACAGTGACCACGGGGTGGGGTGCACGCCTCATGCCTGAGTGTATAAGGCTGGAGCCTGCAATCCTGCTCCTGACGCAGCAGCCATACTACCCCTTCTGTGAGCTGCTCAGAAAATTTTCCGTAACATCCACCATAAAGACTCTCAGTTCCACATGAAAATAGAAGTGAAGTCTGCAATCTTGTGAGACATGTGAGTGACCAGTGTGCATGTTTTCATTTTAGAAGGATGGCCACAGATCTGTCACAAAGCTTCTATTTGCCACTAAAAGCCAAGTATGTGGCTGAATAACATTTTCCTTAAACACTGTGCCCCTGGGCATCCAAGAAAACTGTTCATTTTTGGGTCAGACTGGGCACCACAGATGGTAAATTACAAGAGATAGCTTTGATTTGGAACATCCTTATGGCAGGCCAACGTACATGGTGTCAGGTAACAGCATGTGACCCCTTCCCCAGGTCACGTAGAGACTGGCGATGAGGAACTGACCTGCCCCAAAGTGTCTAAGCAGGGACAAGACACAATACTCACAAAAATTTTCCATTTGTCTTTGACCCTATCAGGACAATCTGCTCAGATTCGTCCCGGGAGATTTTTCCATGGAACCAGGGCATTTTTTCATGGGCCGTGGTGGCGATCAGTTTCTCCAGCTGAGGTTTCTGGCTGATGATGGCCTGCTCCAGAGCTTGGCCCTGCCAGGGGGAGAGGGGAACAGAGTGACTAAGTAAAAATGAGAAGAAGACACTGAAATCATTTCTAATCTGCGTCAACTCCTGATATGCTAAAATTTAATAAGTTAGTTTGTTCAATAAATAAAAGCAGTAAGATCTTTATGTATATTTAAGTGCCTTCAAGTATAGATATAATAGAATAGACTTCAGAATACAGAGGCTGGCCTTTGAAAGCTGGACAGGGCTTTAGAAAGCATCTGTGCGACCCTGTGGCCTAGAGAGCAGGTCGCCTGCTCTCTTGGGATCAGCACTGTCTATAGGAACAGACCGTTTAGTGCGAGAACCTCATCATTCATGACAGCCAGGAAACCCGAAGATTGTGCAAAGAGACAATGGCTTTCCTGCAGCATCTGCATGTCCTGCCCTGGGCCTTCACACAGCCTGCTGCCTGGAGCCGCAGGCAGGACTCCAGAGAGCGGATGCGGTGCGTCCTGCCACCTCCGGATGACAACCTGGAGAGCAAAAATGGGTGGGTCGGCAGCTGGATGAGTTCATTCCTCATTGTTTTTCTCCAGGGAAGGAAATGAAGACCCAGGGTCTGGTTATTTTGAAGGTGTAAAAAGAACCAAAAGAAGTACAAATAAAAATATAACCAACCCAAACTAGGAGATAGCAGCAGGAAAGGTAAGCATGGAAAACTTGCCATGAGAAACAAAGGCAGAGACAGGTTACAGACCAGGGAAGCTTCTGGAACAGAGGGAGCAGAGGTCAAGTATAGGGTGTGAAGCACCACTCGCCACAGTGGAGAAAGGACATGGATGCAACACTGCTGAACCCCAAGTGCATTATGCTGAGTGGACGAGGTCAGCCTGGAAAGGTACCTGCGTGTGAGTCCTTTTACATATAACATCAGGTGGCCAGGGGCTGGGAAGGGCAGGCGTGAGGGTGTTGGGTGATGGAAGCATTACATGACTTGATGGTGCTGGGGGCCACGTGATACTGTGCATTTGCCCAGATCACAGACCCACACACCTCACAGGATGAATTTCACTGTATATGAATTACAACTGAAGAAATTTGATTGATCTGACTTTAAAAAGGGTAAGGGGGTGGCCTCGGACAGATCTAATTGAATGCTAGCGAGAAATAGTGATACACAGGATTGCTGTCCGTCTGCAAGGCTACGTGCAGGGCAGGACATGATAAAGGTGGGGAAGGAGGCACTGTGACGCTCACAAAGCCTGTACTCCCTCATATCTGAACATAGCAGAAAACAGAGTGGATGCGTGGCACACGCCTCCAGGAAACACCAGAGAAATGGCCAAACATGTGAGTGCGACCAGGAGATGGTCCCCATTCTACTGGCTCCTGACCGTTGCCAGGAGTGTGGCAGGACTGTGAGCTGTCACAACTTCTGAGACCCCTGTGGCTGATGACCTGTCAGTCTATGCAAATTAAATATACATGGCCTTTGCTGTGGCAAACCCAACCCCTTCAGAGTTATCTTGCACATACTGCAGAACACCTTGGAGACAGGCGTAGAGCGGGCGCTCCCAGCAAGATTCTACACACCTGTCAATGGTACCAGTTAGATAAACTCTGGTGTGTGGGAGGGACTATCAGGCAGCCAACACAGGCCCAGGCTGCATGTGTGTGCTAACATGGGAATGTTCTGCAGGAGGCACTATGGAGCTACACAATTAAGTGCCAGTCTGTGACCCCTCAGGTACGTAAAAACCAGAAGCTGCCTGGGGTGCTTCCTTCAGAGGGCCCGCCATGAACTGGGCGACAATGGTTTCCTTCTGACTGTGCAAAGAGGGAAGGTTGCCTTATTGGAGTGAGGCAATGTATGGCTCAAGGTGGTGACTTGGGGTGGCTGTACATCTGAGCACCACCGCACGGCTCTGCTGGGCCCCCAGCATCCATGGGGCATGCTCTCACCTGCAGGTTCCAGGTCTGCTTCACATACTCCCGGATGAGGTTCTCCTTCAGGTCCTCAAACGGCCCGGTCTTGGGCTGCACACCGGGCGGCCGGTTGCAGGGCCTCTTGAGGAGGCAGATGAGGCCGTCCGACTCCTGGGAGTGGTACTGGCAGAGCTCAGCGGGGCTGCTGTGCGCACGGCCACCTGCAATGGCATAGGTGCCATTGAGCTCACGCTCAATGGTGTAGTGGTGCGCCTTGCGGCCATGTGCCACTGACAGTGCGAAGCCGCCCAGGTAGTTGCGGCTCTGGCGCAGCAGGTAGAGCCCGTCGCTCATGCCCCCCTGCACCAGGTAGTCCTCCGCCTCCTCCCGGGTGATGTTGCCAAAGAAGAAGGACAGGTGGTTGGCGCTGTCGCCCATGCTTCCGGCCATGCCGGCACCTGCGGGTCACCGAGGGCACACAGGGGTCTCCTGGGCAAAGCAGAGAGAGGGATACAGTCAGGTCCCACAAGCAGTCCTTAACCAGCAGGGCCCCAGCACAGGGATGAACACCCCCACCAGGGAAGCAGCTCTCCGCACCCCGGGACATGGGTGCAGAGCCCTAAGAGTCATTCCCCCCATCATCATTATATCCCAAACACCCCTTTCAACACTGAACCCCAAAGAGCATCACAGAAATGTGACCAACACATGTCACACACACAGAGACACACAGGAATACATGTATTTGCCCTTCTTGTTTGGTGGAGGTGGAATTCTGAGAGAGACACTAAAACAGGAAGTCCCATTGCAAAACAGGGTTTAGGAGCTGCCCCTGTGGTGGGCAGGTACCCAGTAGTGGGGGGCACCCAGGGGCTAACGCCCACCCCTCGAGATAACTGTGAAGGACCCTGGCTGTGCTCAGTTATGTGTAGTGAGGAAGTCACTGGCCCTGTCCCATGAGAATACCCAGGGTCTACTGTCTAGTCATCGCTGTAGTTAGGCACCAAGAGCTGATGCTGGCCATGTCCGCACACCATGTAAACCCGTGTGAGCAGTACCTTCGGCCTTCCCTCCTCAGCCAGCGCTAGGATCACCCACCACCACCGAGACGCACAACAGGGCCTTTCCTACAGTCCATCTCGGGTGGCACACGTCCCCTTGGACTCCCCTACCCAACTCCAGACCACTTTCTGGCACCACCTTGGACCACCGCTTGGCCGATACCGAATAGCGCCAGTTTCATGCTTGAGGACACCTGTTATGAAAAGGGACTTCTTGCCCTTAACAGGGGCTATGATGGGAAGAGTGAGGGCAGTAGACACAGTTTTAACCAGGTGTGTGTGTGTGTTTGGGGGGGAGGAGGCAGTGTTTTCTCTCAGTGTTGTTGTGGATGAGCAATATATACTGCCAGTCCAAAATGCACCCACAAGGTATATTTTAACCGAAAGAAGCTTGTCATCAATGGAGAAATTGAGATGACTCCATGTATGCATCTAGGGAGAAAAGTGCATGCACTTCGTCACACATACAGACACACAGAAACACATGTAAAACACAGACACACACACGATTATGTGAAACAGCCTCTTCTCAATGTGAATCACCCTACAAGTAGCCGTATGTACAGCATAAGAATACCAGTCTGCAGAGGTAACAATTTTCTCTAGGCAATATTGCCAAATCCATTGTCCTGAGTGAGCCCCTAAATAAGACCTGAGTTTTAGTACATTTTGATGTACAAATAACTTTTGCATGCTGCTTTAACATTTGATGATCAATGACTAATTTTTCTTTGTCCAAGTTTCTAATAATTCTCTCTGCAAGACTTTAGAGTACAATCCACATTTGCACTTAAGTCTAGGAACGCTATTAACAAAAAGGTAAATCTGGAAAGACAGAACCGATATGTCCTTCGGAAGCAATATTTGCCTGTTCCCTGGGCTAATCCTGCCCTTCCGCATGGGTGGCGCTTCGGCCTGCCCCTGCCCTGCGCAGGCTGAGCTCTCCTTCCTCAGCACCCCCAGCGCCCTGTAGCCTGTGCCTCTCAAGCTCCCCTGTGCCCGCACAGCGCCCCGACTACCTCACAGCGCAGGGGTCTGCGGTGCCACAGGGACCAATCCCAGCAGGGCCTCCAAGCCCAGAGGGCCGATGCTGCAGCCTGATGTGCCAAGATCTCCATGCTGCCTGCCTCCAGGGGCAGCCTCTGCCCCAGCAAGCAGCCTGCAGCCCTCCCAGAGCCCTTGATTCCTCTAAGGCTGGTTTTCCAAATGGCTTTGGTGTTGCTCCTCCACTCCCTCCTCTCCGCACCCGCTACCTGTCTGCGCTCACATCTCAGCCCCATGCAGGCCTGGAGACCTGCTGGCCTGGACCCTGGCCCTCTGGATCCCATGGTGCCCTCCACCCTGTCCATCCTGCCAGTCAGCCTGGCTCCTACCAGGCCACTCCCCACTGGCAGTTGCCCACCCTCTGCCGGAGGGGACCATCCTGCAGACATGCCTCAGATGCACCTTCGCTGTGTCACTGTCCCTACCTCTGGGTCCCCATTACATAGCTGCCAGCCACAGAAACCCTCAACAGAAACCTCTAAGTCCTCAAGAAAAACACTGCAAATATTCACTAATGCTTTAAAATTGTATAAGTCTTAACACAATTACCATTTTGAAAATTCACCGGTTTTTCACTAATATTTACATCAGGGCTGACCCTCAGGGTGGAGCCCATGATGGGACAGGACAGGCTGGAAGGGGGCGGCCTGCTGGGCGCACGCCCCAGGCACACGCTGGGACATCCCCTGTGACCCTTCAGCTTCCCCGGGGTGGGGACACCCGGCTGCAGCGGGGTGAGCAGCACCCTGGCTGGGCAGCTCTTTTCGAGGGTGTTTTTTCCTGGGCTGGAGGGAGCACTGGGCCTGGACCTGAAGGTCGACACCTTCGGCCACTGGTGGTGGATTTAACCTGAGAGAAGCTTCACTGCCAGTACAGCTTACAGCACATTCTTGGGCCATTTAATTTTGGAGGTAAACACCTTTGATGCCCTATGTATGCCCCCATTGGTGCCCACACCTACCTTCTCTTGGTTGCCAACCTGTCCACAACACAGGTCATGGGGACAAAGACAGTTCCTCCACCATCCACAGGAGCTCCACCCCTTCCTGTTCTCAGCCATTTTCAAACACCAGCTCCTGCTCACTGGCAAGCCTCTAGTTCTGCCTTTACACTTGGCCCTGCTCTGGGTCAGCTGTCATCCCAGCAGCCCCTACATCATTGTAGCGGCCTCCACCACTGCCCAGCCATTCGGCCAGCCCATGGCACCTGCTTACAGGCAAGACTTAAATCTGCTTTTCTGCAGCCCGAGGGGAAGCCTGTTGCTTAAACTCTGTTTAACACCCATGGGGATAACTTATAACAGCAGTGCCTAGAACTTGCCATCTCTTTTTTGTCTTTCAACTTCCCCGGTTATTTTTCTCCACATGTGAAACTGCTTTATGGAGAAGCTCAAAACTGAGAAACAAAAGAGGCCTTTGGTCCACACAGGCCAGGCCCCACTCCTCCACACCCCACCAGTACAGCAGGGGTGCTCCCTTGCCCAGGCTACGCTCCAGGAGTGCAGGTGTCGGCCGCTGCCCGGTGAGCACGTCCATCCCTCAGCCCCACTCTACCTGCAGGAGATGCTCAGAGGCCCCCGCCCTGAAGCCCCTAAGGGCAAGGAGTAGATCCCAACATTCAGATGTATTTATTGTCCCTGACAGCACTGTGACCCATCAACCTGCACAGGGCCTTCTTTTTCCTTCCCCAGTTCATCAGGACTACTCTTGGCTCTATTATCTTTTCATCTTATGCATGAACCAAGGTACAGTTGATTGCTGTTATTCATGGTAGTTACAGTCTATAAATTCACCATGAACACTAACTCTCCAAAACTGAACCATTGCTCTTGGACAAAAGACAGGGTTAGCTTCCTGCCGGCCCCTGGTCTACGACATTTTTGTCAAGTGACATGTAACCTTGTTTTATGTGTGCTCCCGTTAAAACTTATTTCACATATGTTGTTGACTTACTACCACTGTACTCCAGTCTGACAGCCTGAACGAAGCTTCTCTAGCAGGCATTTTCTCCATAAGGCACATCCTGGGCTTCTTGCACTGAGGACGTGAGCCAACACCATGCTTGGGGCCATTTTAAATAATGAAATCACCAGTGAAAAGCACACACACAAAATGCAAAAATCATAGCACTGAAAAGACCACCAGGACATGTTTGTCACATGCTCTGAGACAGGAAGGCAGGTCAGCCTCAACTGGGAACGTACGTGTTGGGTGACTCCCATTTTGTCTGCTCTGCACACGTCTGCAAATGACCACACATTCTGCATACTGATTTGGGGGGGAGGGTTTGTAAATAGGTTTTAGGGAGATGAATTCATAAATATGGAATATGCAAATAATGAAGTTCCCTGTGATTTTCCTCACTCTCCCCCACCTTCCCTAAGAGCCATCCTACCTGCATGGAGAGAGGTACGCACTGTTGCCTTGGTATAAGACAGTGTTCTTCAATGTATTGCTCTTGTTCCTTAAATCTGTGTTCACTGCAGTGCTTTTAAATTTGGCATGAAACGAGATGTTGTCTGTGTCATTGCACTTTTTTTTTTAACCCTATCTGCTTTGGTTATCTGAAGACCAGACCTGTGGCTGAAAGCATCTGCTTTTCTCAAGACCCATTGAACCATGACTCCTGCAGGTGCTCCTGCTCAACTACAGGGTGAAGCCCCACCCACTTCCTGAGGACAACGTTGCCAACAGCACTTAGTATGTTAAGGTGGCTGATTTCACGTCACTGGGCCAGAGAGCCTCCCCATCTAGTATGGATTGAGGTGTCCATGAAAGAAGTAAATGGTACCCTGGGGAAGCAACACATGGGGCCGGTTTCTGCATGGCCCCGCCACATAGGGAACATCAGGGAGATGCACAAAGCTATCTTGGCTCATGTTCACAGCTACGTGGCCACCTCAAATGAAAAGCAGCCCTGACAAAATCTGCCTGGGAGTTTCTTTTGCAGCTTGAAGCTGACAAAATTAGGTGTCAGGACTTTGGTAAAAGAAAAACTTCACTGTGGGTTTGATTAATTTTCATAAAAAAGGAAAAAGAATCCAGCCTGGAAGAGGAATGGATATTTCTAGACCAGTCAGGGACAGAAATGACCAAGCCAAGGGACAAGCAGTGGGACTGTCCCAAAGAGCACCAGCAGGCAGCCACCCTCAAGGGGTCTTCACAGGGCTGGGGACACTGCTGGCTCAGAAAGAAAACACATGAGCACAGAACTGTGACTGCAATGTGGAGAAATGAACCCACAGCACCCGGCCTGAGTCAGCCTGTGCCTACCTGGCTTCCTGGGCCACATCCCCAGCCTCCCTGGGGCCTGCCGGGCCCGTCACATGGCTGCAGACCCAGCCTCCAGAGGCCAAGCCAGACATTGAGATTTCTGGCGAGCACA